TTTTTTTACCCTTTTATTACTCCTTCTATGTGTGTGAGGAACATTAAAATTTAAATTCAACTTTCACACCTGTTCTTCTTCCGTGGGAATCGTGACATGGAGAAAACATAGGCACAGCTAAATATGGCCTAGAAGGTGTAATACATGAACCGGTTCAGGAAACGGAGAACATAAAAAAGTGGAAATGCGATTTGGTTGGCACGAATCTTACTTTCATGCTGGACACATAAAACGATGCCGGACGCGAATTAATTTGAAGGCGATTTGATGGAAATTCATTTTCACCGGTTGCGAAATGCGAAAATCACAATCGTTCAGCCAATGGCAATTATTTGCACATCGTTACGATGATCGCAATCCAAAAAATATTGTTTTTTTTTTGGCAAAAACATTTCATCAGTGATTAATCATCACGCTACGTATTTAGTTCTAATCAAACATGATTTGTTGGGTTTGAACTTTCAATGATTCTATTTTCTTATTTTTATTTTCACAAATTCTATCAATTTATTTGTCGTTTAACTTTCCATAAATAATTCGGCATGTTAAAATTTCATGGCAAGTCAATTTCTTTGGAATCTCCTTCTTGCCATTCGATCCTCTCTCCCATGTTTCTAGCTAATATTGCGTCAATAAGTGTTCAATGACCTTCTTTAAGGCTGAAAATTGTGAAAAGTATACAAGATTCATAAATATCTGAAACAAATCAAAAGGAGTCATCTCGACTTACCATAAATTAGAGCACAAAACAAAACCGCTTCGGTGGGATTATTTTTAAGAATGTCACTACAATTCCTGGCTATATATCTAGCGGTGTCGAAATGACCTAAAAATAAGCTGTCTTTTTAATTTCTTAGATATGGGTTTCAAGTTCATAACAAATTACCATAATTTGTAGCATAAAAACTTGCATTTTTATGGTTATCATCTTTATGATGAATGTTTGCACCCTTTTGCATTAGACATTTGACAACATCAGTGTGTCCTATATGGAAATTGTTTTCAGTTACGAGTGTTTTAATTTATTTACAATAGAAAATATAGAAAAAATAACGGAATTTACCGTTGCTCGAAGCCAATATCAGAGGTGTTCTTCCATTCTGATCAATATGATCAATATCCGCACCTTCATGAATCAAGTATCTGACCATTTTTAGTTGTCCTAAAAAATAGAACATTTTTCTAGTATGAACATTTTTGTATTGCTCAAGATTTGTCACAGATTAAATAGTAAATTTACCAAACTGAGCGGCAAACATAAGTGCCGTAGCTCCGCTATCAGTCATCATATCAACTTTGACCACTTTGAGCTCTCTCTGTGCAATTTTGATATCACCTATAAAAATTGATAGACTACTTAGTTTTTGTTTGCATT